GTTATTTTTTACAAATATGAAATTGAAAAAACAAAACAGAAATAAATTATTGAACATTTCAATTCAAAAGCAAGTTTAATAAAAAAAAGTTGTTTCAAATCCGAATTTTCAACCCAAATTACAAATTATATACATATATAATATATATGTACTAGAAATAAACGCTTATTACAATATTCTGTAATATTTCAGAAATAAAAGAACAAAATGAGAAGAGAAAAATTAATAAAGTAATAATTTTTTTAATAAAATTCAAATAAGCCACCATCTACGCTTTTGATGATCACATTGTAAACACACTTGAGTACTACATTGTAAAAAAACTTCTCAAAAACTTTTTTGTTTTTTTTTGTTTTCAGATGGGTTACCATTCTACACTAATTCTAGAAGAGTGGTCCATTCTAGAAATATAGAAATTAAAATAGAATTTCAAATTGTTTTCAAATGTCTATTATGAAAAAATGCAGATATGTAAATTAAATAATCAAATAAAATTTTCAGACAATTTACTCAATTTCACGACATCCTGAAAGTTGAAAAAACAGAGCTCTAGGCTGCAAAAATTCCAGCGTTTTTTTCAGCTGAGCTCTAATATTCAAATAGAATTAAAATTAAACTGTTAATAAAGTAAATTTGCTGTATTGTGGTATAGGCGAACTTTATTAAATTGAATACACACTAGAATTAATAAATGCATACGACAACACTAATTGTAAGTGCATAGCATCGGAGTATTTTGGTTTGAAAAGTATGTTCTTGTGCGTGTATATATGTATGTATTTATAGATTATAATCTAAATACAATCATTTAACCTTATGTTTCATACATTTTTATATTTTACTTATATCTTCAATTTTATTTAATAAATAATTTTGTATGTATATGTATATATGCTTATAAAATATTAAATATAGCTTATAAAATAATTTTTAACATTAAATATGGGAACTCTTATAAACTGCAGCAGCAACGTGAATAAAACTGCGGCCAGAAAACAAAAAAATATCATTTAATACTCGTACATGTACATATGTACGTTCAAAATACTGGCACAAACCATACAATAAATGTAATTTATTTGTAATATCATAAAATAGTTGCAAGTGTACAAGTATGTGCACACAGTTCTATGTCTGTGCTATGATGTAACTCAGATTAAAATAATAATAAAAATTTTTGTTTTTTTTTTTTAGGAACATATGAAGGGTGTGTAAATGCGTTAATATCAATTAGCATCGCCGCACACAAAGAACTTCTTAAATGTATTCGTACATGTGCATATTTACATAATATGTACATCAAAATAAATTCTAGAACATTAAAATAAAGTAATGTAAAAAGAGTGAAATTTAAGATCAATTGTGCCTGTGCTATGACAATGTACACTATAAGCTTTGAAAAAAAGCACTTAATTGTTGTACGATATTAATATGCAGAATCAAGGCAAGTTCCGAGGCACAAACTCCCGTTTATTGCACTCTCTCTCTCTCTGAATTTAATTAAATCTTAGAGCAATTTATAAACAACAGCACACTTGTTAAATTACAACTATTTCTATTTATGTTTCTCCTAGATTTATGCAAAAAATTAGTTCGCTGTTAACTGGTAATATTAATAACTAGTAATATTGATCAGTTCAAATATATGGTCGCTTGAATCTGTTCAAATATAAATTTTTTGCATTGCATTGAAACCTAGATTAATCTAGAATTTTTTTTACCGGAAAAAGAAACTTAATTTGCATGAGGTGCGCAATTAAAAATGCGCAAAATTTAAAATACAAATTTAAAATTTTTAAACTATTTATTAAGTCGACTTCGTTTAAAGTATGTATTTAACCAACTTGCGAAAAAAAAATTCGAATTACGACCGATGTTGTAAGTACTAAATGATATTTATTTGTTAGCAATATCTTGAAAATTAAGCAAACACATTAAACTCTATAAAATTCGAATGACGGACAATTGACACTAACAATTTTTTAGAATTTTAAAAACACATTTTTTAAAACGTTCATGAACTCGAAAAAAAACCAATGCAAGTATATAGAATTCTTTGTGAAACGTATATTATTTTTTAATACAATAAGTAACTGAATGTCAACAATAATCTCTTTTCTCCATGATACCTATTTGGTATATGTACATTTATTTCTTAATATATTCATGCTTATATATTATACAGAAATCTCACGTTATAAACTATACTTAGGACCTGGGGCAGATTTGTTAAGGAGATTGATGCACCGTCTCTTGAGAATCATTCAGGAGGTTGATTAGTTCCGACAGATGATTTTGAGATTTGCATTACATAGAGGATGTCGAACATTAATTTGAGGTTTGCCGATGGGCCTTCTTGTTGGCCGAGCACGGATGGCCATGTGGGTCCCTCTTCTTAGACTAATTATAATCCATAAACGCATACGGAATCGTTGGTTTCTGAGTTTTAATATTTTTGTATTTTAATAAAATATTTTGTTATATATTGGAAAATTATTATGGTATAAGTTTTATACCCTTCTATGTTATGTCATATATACCAATAAATGTAGTAATGAGTATCATTATACTTTTATGCAGTTTTACTAGATAGTATATAGTATATATAAAATTATTTTTAAAATTGAAATACATCTCTTTAATTTTATATACCATCTTTAAAATTGTCACATTTACACAATTTATTGATACATAAGCAGCTGTGCGTATACACAGATATGCTTCATTCTGTTATTGCAGTATTTTTATAATCTTCTTATTGCAGGGTATTGTAAGTGTATACATACATATGTATATGTATATATAAACAATAATTGAGATCTCAGACAACCAGCGCCCTTTTTTTTTCTCATTCGATTTATTTTTTTTTTTAAGATTTTTATTATTCTAAAACAAAATAATAACCAAATTATAATTTTATATTTTTAAATTTTCACAAAGCACTTCAGAAAAATCAAAAATAAAATAAATTTGTGGAATATTAACGTTGGTAGATAATGTTGCGTGAATTATATAAAATTATAAATATGTATACATACATGTACAATTAGATGATATAAGCCCCATACTGCCACACCAAGAATTAATAGGGAAAGAATCAAAATAAAACCAAACCTAACCTGCGAGTAGTGAATAATTTGCGATTTTAAATTATTTTGTATTTAGTGTTAAAAATACAAGTTAGTCATATAGAACAAAAAATATCCGGAAAGCACATTTCATCAATTGTAAATATTAGCTGGTTATGCTTGATTACCTAAAATAATAATGGGATCAATTATAAACCATGACATTGTTATTATTAAAAAAAAAGCTATATTGTATTCGTATATATAAATATCGGAAAACATACAATCTGCCCAGAAGTCCGCTATAAAAATGTATTTATATATTTGTATGGTTCTTTTAAATAAATAAAGCGGAACAGTAACATAAAAAAGAAATCTAATTGGGAAAAAAATTGATTGTATACACTCTTCTAAAGTTAATCTTTATCGCATCATCTATCGATAATGAAGATTCCAGATTTAATTCATTTTTTGACAATAGAAAATTGAAACTATAAATAAATTTAAGATTAAGAGTCCAAACGCTTAAATGTTACAGAGATTTGAATATTAAATTTGTATTATGATTTTATGACCACCCTTAAGATATTATTGCTCAATATATTTGGCAATTATTGAAGTTCTTGAATTAGCATAGTTTTACTTTCTTGGAAGCACATGACTTATTGTTTAGCACATATTTAGTACTAGAGTTAAAATACAACACTTAGATTTTAGTAAATTGTTTCTCATGTGATTAGTGCCATTAACAACAATATAACATCCCGTAAATTTCGCTTAATTGAACATCATCCTTACTGACTTAGCATGTTGTCGAAATTGGCAGACATTATACATTTTAAGCTACAAGCATAATTTTTTAAAAATTGCTTAAAACAATTGTGTCAAAAACTAAAATTTTAAGTTATAAACTGACTGACAAACTTATAAATAAAAAAAAACTAATTTTCATAAACTTTCTTAAAAATGTACCCAAAAAAACTGCAGAGTGCGAAATGAGTTTCAGTTACTTGTTTTTTTTTTTTGTTTCAGTGGTTTATTCAAGAGGCGTAAAACATATTTGAGGCATAATAAGTATATGAAAAGTTAATAATAAAATACGATATTTAAAAATCGACAACCTACATGTTAATCTGCTAAAAAAAAAATTTATCCCAACAAAAACCAATGGTGACTCATAAAAGGTGTGCAACAACACGGAAGATGATTGCATATAGAGGATGTAATTGTAACTAGTTGTCAGATTGTCTTTTTAATTTTACACCACTTTTCATTTTTTTAATTTTCGCGTTTTCTTTTCATACGTTTCTATTTATGTGCCTACACGTAATATGAAAATCATATGCGAATGAATCTTCTCCAATGTAGCTCAACTTGTTCATTTCGAAATTATTTTTTTTTAATTTTATATTTTATGTTTCTATTATGCATAAAATATTGAATGTCGATATGATTTTTACTTAAAGTTCAATAGTTTTTTTTTATTAGTTAGTAAAATTAGTTAGTAAAAACAATTTTACACATGCTCTCTAAAAAAAACAACACGTATTTAAAAGCGTTTGGTCAGACATGGTAATTCAATGCTAGAACGACACAATGGTAATCCGTTGGAGAAACCAATTAAACTTTAAACTGTCCAAAGCTCTCAGCTGAAGCTTTGTTACCAAAACATCTCATCAAGTTTGCACTAAATTCCTTTTTCTGGTTCCGTTACAAGAATCATATTGACTCCAGGTTACTATATGGGTTAGATGCTTTATATGACATACTATCGATTCAGATCAATTTAGATTCAGATCAGGTTTTAATTTTCTATCATATCTAAGATATTTATTTAGAATATTTTAAATTTTGAAATTTTTATATTTTAAAATTAGAATGTAGCTCAATCGAATTTGAATATTGTAGTTTTGATTAAAATTTTTCTGATACCTGAACAGCACAGCTTTTGAATAAAAAGATTGATCCGTATGTATCAGTTTTTCTGAAAAGAGAAAATTAAAAATAATTATTTGGAATTTAAGTTCGCAAATATAAATTATCAAAATTCTTAAAAATAAATTTAGATATTAGAAACTTATAGAAATTGGCATAAATTAATATACGCCTTTACACTTGAGGCGATTATACTAGGAGCGAACCCCAATTTACGCTCTCAGCTTGAAACAAAAATAAAACGTATATGAAAACGACATAATTTGCAGTGGGGACTTTATCTCTATGGTAGTATACATGCATATATATAGCTACATCAAAATGCCAATTTGTTAAATTATCTGTTGCAATATTGGAGATAGAAATGACAGACAAGTTATTCCAAGACTTTCTAATACAAAATATGCAAAATTTTCATTTCATTCTACTTTCTTTGGGAAATTTTAACAAAAAATTTAGATTCAAACATCGGTTCGAACATCTACCGGTTAATTTTTCATTTAAAAAAATTTAGTGTAATATATGCATGCCTCAAGAACTGAGAAGCCTACAGCATTTCTATTTGATTTAAACGATTTTGGGTAGTAGGACCATAATTTCTAAAAGATTTGTTTGTAGTTGCATTGATTTTTAGAGTAGCTATCTTGCAATATGTAAAATAATTTAGTCACAAAATAAACTATTATCAAAAACTATTTAAGTTGAAATGTTAAAGTTTAACGAATTTAACTCAAATTATGTAACTTATACTTTATACCTATGACATACAATAATGAATCTCAAGTGGAAATTAAATAGAAAATCAATTTTAGCTTTAAGGCACTTATTGCATAACAAAAAATTCTATAAAATTTCTAGTATATTTTAATTCGTATTAAGCTATGAGCTTTTTTGACTCATTTTAAGTCTAACAGTAACACCTCATTTTATTATTTTTATTTTTAAATATGGATAAGGTAAGTTTAATGCGCAAAAATTTCAGAAAAGTTGTTGTTTTCTATTGAAAACTTCTTTATATGTACGACGGTGATAAATGAATGAAAATTTTTTAAAATGATTTGCGTTTTTATTGAATTTTATATATTTTATTTTTTTCCTCTTTAGTAAGAATTAATTCAAATAATATACTTGATAAATTATTGGTAGGAATACACACATTTCTAAAACAAAATAAAATTTACGCTAGTGTAAAATTAGCTTCTCTTCATCTCGTAATGTGCAATTGATGTCATTTTAGTTATACCTGCAAGTGATTGCTTGTTTCTCACTACAATATCAACAAAATATTTTACAAATAATACATAAAAGCGTTATTTAAAAACCATTTACCTTTTGGCACATTTCCAAAATATTTAAGAAGAAATTTAGGAAACCTTATTATTTTCAATTTGTTTGTCTTTCTGTCTGTCTATTTAAAAAATTTCTTCAACATTCAGATGTTTCAAAAAAATGAAATTCTGTACCCAAATGGTCTAGTGAAGACAATATCTCTCTATAACTTTTGAAAGACATTGAATTAAAAATACAAGTTTTGAGGCAGAAGACAAAAGCAATTTGTGAATATTCTCTAACACATAACGTACACAATTTACTTTAGGTATTTACACAAAGAAAAAGCAAATGTTATGGCTGTCAAATTTCACATGTTAATTAAATATTAAATCTCAAACCGGTTCTCTTCTCTGATTATCTGAGCAGATTCTCTCCTATAGTGGCAACTGGGCTTAGTTTTAAATTTGAACAGTATTCTCTGCAATTCCTTCATTTTGAAAAAAGATTTTGGTTCCATCGAATTTCTTTAAAAATAAAAGTGTAACCAGTAATCCACCCTTGCAAAAAAATGCATTCTTAATGTGTCTTAATTGAATTAATATAATGAAAATTAGCATAGAATTTTTCGAAAATTATGACTAAGATTTCTCTAAGAATCATGGAAAATTTTCATATTGGTAATAGGTTTTTATACCCTGCACTTCGTGAAGGAGTCATCTGCGGTATGGACATAATATATAAATATTCTTGCTCAGCGTAAAATTCTGCGTCGATTTAGACATGTCCGTCTGTCTGTCCGTCCGTCCGTCCGTCCGTCCGACCACACGATAACTCAAAAACGAATAATGCAATCGACACCAAACTTTCACAAGTTTTTTCTTTTGTGCCAAGGACGAGCCCTATTGTTATTGGACTAATTCGGATAACGGGTTCGGGTAGCTGCCATACAACTCAAAGAGTTTATTTTAAATATTTCAAAAACTAATAAAGCTATAAATATAAAATTTTGTATACATGTGTCCAATTATATTCTATATATGCTCTAAAAATTATAAAGGTATAGCTGCACCGGTTCGGGTGGCTGTCATACAACTCCAGAAGCTAATTTTAAATATTTGGAAAAATAATATAGTCAGATACATGAAACTTGACAGTTGTGTGTCGAGTTATAGGTCAGATATATTTCTGAAGTTTTGGTGGAATTGCTTGACAGATTCGAGTACCTCCCATACAAGTCTAAAAGCTTATTTTAAATATTTGGAAAAATAATAAAGTCAGATTTATGAGCTTTGGCAGTCGTGTGTCCAATTATAGGTCAGACATATTTCTGAAGTTTTGAAGTCCCATACAAGTCCAAAAGTTTAAATATTTGGAAAAATAAAGTCAGATTCATGAAACTTGGCAGTTGTGTGTCCAGTTATAAATCAGACATATCCGTGAAATTTCTATAAAATGGTTTCACAGGTTTGAGTAATTGCTATACAACAACAAAAGGTGCAGGGTATAATTCAATCGGTTTATACCGACTGTAACGTTTTTACTTGTTTTAATTATTAGTAATAGGAGAGTTATTTTACTAAATCGTTTTTATTATTTATACCTAAATGAATGGTACATTATATATATAATGTAGTATATTGCAAACCTAAAATAATGAGCTACTTTGCAAACCGTAAACTTGAACAGAATTTCTTTATTCGTTGATAAAAAATACTTTTTTTTTGCGAAAAACTTAAAAAAAAAATGAAATTTCTTAAAAGTTGGATTGTGTTAGATTGTAAATTTATCGATTAAGAAATATTTATATCTCTTTCTTTCATATGCTTGATAAATTTATTTCTTAAATTTAGAGTAGTGCAAACAACCACTTGCAGTTTAAAATGCATTTAACAAAATTTTATGAGTCCGACACATATAACGCACATACAATAAGGAAGGTTATGTGATGACATCAAATTTCGGATATCGAGTTTTCGTGGACAACGCACTTCTCTATTGTAGGTTAGCGTAAGCAAATTTTTTTTGAAGAGATACCGGTCTGTCGGTTCGTCTGTCAATCTGTGTAGACGTGTATCTCAAATTCAGCTGAACTGATTTTGATGAAATTTTATGTGTGAGTTTATTTTGGCTATTTCAGAGATTGATTATTATTTGGGATGTATCAGATCTCGGGAACTGTACTTTTTTGCAGGCCGATTTTATATCTGAAATTTCTTGAAATTTCATATCAGAGTTTTGGTTGTTACAGAAACTAATTGATGAGCTTTTTAGCGAATTTCGATGGCATAAAGGGAAACTTTAAAAGTCAAACAAACATTTTTCTAGGCATGCTGATTAATAGCTAAAATTGTCTACTACGTCACTAAAATTGGAAAGAAGTGTTTAAAATACATTTTCTGTAACACTTTCACTAAAACAGTCAATGCAAACAGGCAATCGATTATGTATGTGCTCATCACATCAAATTTTTTTTTATTTATAATATTGTAAAGGATGCATTTCAACGACGTTTTTTTTAAATTAATGGTTTTCAATTTCCGAAACTTCATAAAATGTGCCCATTCTTCATTTAAAGAAAAAAGAACTTTTTATACACTACTTTCCATTTCATTTTTTAGATTTTTTATTCCACAAATTTTACATAATAGCTATTCTTCTTTTTCCATTATAAATTCTATTTAAGTTCCAACATTTGTTCGGATGAGTGAATTTTGTCAATTTCATTTTTTATTAATGTTACATTTTCGTAGTACCGTTAAACATAGCTGTTAGTTTTCTACTTAAATTAAAATCTCGTAATTTTTTTTAAAATTAAAAATTGAACGAAAGAAAATGCTAAAAATCTCTGTGCTAAAAAGTAAATACAAAAATTTTTTTCCAGATTGACAATTTTTTTTTCATCTCATTCAAAACGATTTATTCCGTTATACGCGCTTCTCACGTTTTTAATTTAAATTTTACTTCATTAATTTTACACAATTTCCTTACACCATACCACAAACAATATTTTATGCATAATATTGCCTGTTTTATCGTTTATTCTTCTAACATTAAAATAAGGAAAGACAAAATGTGACTACAACTAAAATTCTTTAGGAAGAATCTAAAACAATGTTTCAGTTTTTATTGCTAGAATTTTTAAACGCAGAACAATTATTATTTTACTGGGAATGCGATTCATTATACCAGGTTACATTCGTGTAAATTTTTTTAAAATTTCTAAGAAACATCACGTAAGTCATTAAACTGACGTCATATGTTTGCGTCAAGTGATTGATTACTAAACCAAAATTAAAGTGTATTCATTTAAAAGATCACGAAGTTTTTCAATTCACTTGTTTTTCGGTTTAGAATTTTGTAACACGATTGAAAAAATAAAAAATTTCAAAAATGTTTTGACTTTGAACTGAAATAATTTTCTGTATTTTTTAAATTATTTTTAAATTTGAATATTTACAATTAATTGTTTTTTTAATTTAATAAAAATGAGGACAAAAATGGGATAACCTCTTATTTGTAAATTTTTTTTTCAAATCTAATTAACTTTGCAGAGGAACGTAATTTTACGTAACAAATTCAAGTGCTACAGTTCATTAAATAATTTCAGTTTTAATTAAATTTTCATTTCACATAAGATTTTTAATATAAACAATGAGTTTGTCTTTATTTTACGATTAATACACTGCAACATCTGATATATTAGTATTTCATAAGAAATATTAATAGTATGCTTTCAAAACGCCCACCAAATTTTAAGGTCAACCAAAAATGAATGTG